GCTGTTCACTGTTGAGGGTGATGGTCTAGGAGTCAGCAGCTTTGTTTAATATAGTATTTGGGCTATACTATTAGTATAGTATTTGAACAGGTAGTATTTGGGCTTTGTCTCTGTTGTAATGACTTGGCTCTGCTATGCACAAAAACAGCCATTGATGGCATGTAAATAATTGAATATTTCTGCCCTGCAAGAAAACTTGATTTACAGAAATAGGCAACAGGGATCAATTTGGGCTGTCATTTGCAAGCGCCTGGTCTAGAATGCAATGAGAAATATTCTTTTCACACATTGTAGTTCTAAATTCAGTGTACTACTTGTCAGCTCTTAATTATCTCTGTGGTTCAGTTTTGTTATTTGTCAGTAGGGGTTGTAAATGTATGCATCATAAGATTGTTAGAGGGAAATAAGTTCATGCCTCTAGTATATTAGAACAGTGCCTGACATATAGTAAATAATAAACATTACCAATGATGATATTGATATCTGCCCTTTTTTCAGACGTGTTTGAAGGAGTCAGATGGCAGCGATACAGAAGATTTTGGCTCTGATCATAGTGAAGACTGCCTTTCAGAAGCAAGCTGGGAACCTGTAGATAAGAAAGAGACTGAGGTATGTTTATGCAAGTATATAATAGGTACTTACATGAGCCAGTGAGTTTTTTTCTTAGAGATGAGTGATATGTAGTAGACTGAGCTCTCTCCAGATGAATGTCTTTGTAGGAAAGTAGTAAGCAACTTAAAAAGACAGTTCTTGGAACTGGAGTGATAGCACAGTGGGTAGGGCGTTTACCTTGCATGTGGCCGATCCGGGTTCGATCCCCAGCATCCCATATGGTCCCCGAGCACTGCCAGGAGTAATTCCTGAGTGCATGAGCCAGGAGTAAGGAGTAACAGTAACCCCTGTGTGCAGCGCTGGGTGTGACCAAAAAAAAAGAAAAGACAGACCTTGATGGGGCTGAAGAGGTAGTAGTTCAGTGGGTAATGTGTTTGCCTTGCATGTGGCTAACCCAGATTTGGTCCCCAGCATTCTGTATGGTCCCCTGAGCATCACCAGGCATGGTCCAACTAGTGCCGCCACGACCTCCCCACTCATATCCCCCCACCTTCAAGCCCCCCCCCCCCAACCAAAACAAAACAGACCTTGAGCTGGAGAAATAGTATAGAGGTTAAGGGACTTGTTTTGTGTGTGCCTTATATGATCCCTGGCACCGAGTGTTGCCAGGAGTGATCCCTGAGCACTGCCAAGTGTAGCCTAAACCCCCACTCCCCTGCAAAAAAAAAAAAAAAAAAGCCTTGCTATTCTCTTTGGGGTGTTTTTCTTGTTGAAAAATTGCTCTTCCACTTGTTGATAAGAACCTAAAATTGGGGAGGGGGGGTACGCCTGATAGTGTTGGGACCTGCTCCCCACTCAGTGCCTGGGTTGTTCTCTGTGGTGCTCAGAGAATCAGGGCCTGAACATGGGCCTGAACCAGGATCTCCTTGTGCTTCAGTCTATTGCACTATCTCTGTAGCTCCAAGGACCTGGAATTTTTTTTTTTGTACCTTCTTTTAGGTGACTCGATGGGTTCCAGACCATATGGCATCACATTGCTATAACTGTGACTGTGAATTTTGGTTGGCTAAACGAAGACACCATTGCAGGTGAGGTAGATGTTTTATAAAATGATTTGACATGGCTCATAAAATTGGGAGGTCCCTTTAAGTGCGCTAAATTAATATGAAAATGGAGACATCTTTATATTTTTCTTCTAGCTTTTCTGTTTGTGTAATGCCTTTTAGACAGTTATTCTCAGTATGATATCTACAATTGGATTAATACTGAACTCTTCCATTTATGATGAACTTCTGACCTCTTTGTTTGACAGAAATTGTGGGAATGTATTCTGTGCTGGCTGCTGTCACCTGAAGTTGCCCATTCCTGATCAACAACTCTATGACCCCGTTCTCGTCTGTAACTCATGTTACGAACATATCCAAGTTTCTCGTGCCAGGGAACTCATGAGCCAACATCTGAAGAAACCCATTGCTACAGCCTCCAGTTGAATGCCAGAGATGACCTGTCCAATTTGAGCAGGTTTGAAGGGAGGATCCGATTCTGGTGTAGTTTTAAAGGTTCCTTAGCGTGGCTCCTGAAATCAGAGCTGAGATAACCTTCTTGAGAGATCCTCCTTGGTACCATGAGACTGGAGCAGAGGAATTCCAATTTGGCAGGCGGTCCTCTGTTGGTGAGATCCTCATCTTGGGGCATTCGGTCCTGATCCAGAACCAGATTCCAGAAGCTTAAGGTTGAGTTGGTGACTCCAGCTTCTTTCTTCTGGGGGGATCAGAGTAAGATGATGATTTCCCAGATACTGCCTGGCAATGTGTGCCCCAAACAGCAATAGAAAGGCATCTGTATAACCAAACTCCAAGTGGTAACCAGACCCATCTCTCCTCCACCTTGACAAAGCAGATTATAGTATATAAGATAGGAATTCCTATCCTATTTGAAATGAACTCTTTCCCTGTACCTCTGTGCTCTGTGTCTGTGCATGAAGGCTCAGTCTTTAGAGGCACCCCCTCTAGTTGCATTAGTTCTGTCTTTCTGTGGAGTTTGGTTTAAAGACTGATTCAGCAAGTGGAGGTTTTGCTGTTTTTTTCACGACTCATTGGCCAGCATCAGTGAAATTTTTTCAGTTCAGGGGAGCATTGTAGGGCATGAGACATTTTGTGGAGCAGAGGAAAACTGCTCATGTTCCATTTTGGCAAAAATCAGTTATTCTGAGCTGTGAAGGCAGCAGTCTCTGTTACTCAGTGGCAGCTCTTGAGGTATGCACTGTGAAGAATGAGAAAGGAAAAGCAGAAGTTACTCTTGTGACATATTTGCTAATTGTGCCCCCCCCGCCCCCCCCTGCGCCTGACTTTACCTAGTTGTCCTGGTGCTAACACAGGAGCTATACACCTTGATCCTCTCCTGGCATGAAAATAAACAATGTTTTGTTTGTTTTTGTTGTTCCATTGCCCTCTTCCCTCCCCTCATGTTGTCTTTCCTTTGGCTGCTGCCTCCTTTGGGTCACACTGCTTTTTATCCTGAACACTTGACACCTTGAGGGTAGAATTTAGTGTTTGGTTTTTTTACCTCCTAGAATATGCTGTTTGGTATGTGAGGGTTTCAGTACAAATGCTGCTGTCTATTTCTGTGCACTTACAATGGAACCCAAACAGAAGAGAAGAAAGCCTTGATACCAAAATTGGGAGAGAAAATGTGTCCATTTGGACCAAACTTTTTTTTTTTTCCTTTTTTCCCAATCTTAATATGTACCAGTGGCACTTAACCAAAAGATACAGTGATATAGCCATGTACTCCGGTTGGGACAGATACAGTCTCCTTGACCTATAATGAAACCACTAGGACTTCCTTTATACATTTTCCTTCATTTGTTGGTGTATAAAAGGTAAATTATATTTAGGCTTATCCTGTTTTTAAAAAATGGTAGCTGTCTGTCTGTGTAACTGCTACTTTCATGTTGCTTCTTAGAAAATATTTTCATTTGAAAACAATTAGGATCTGCATTTAGAACAAGAATTGTGATTTATCCTGGCCTTTTCTTCAGTCCTACAAGGAAGCATCTGTGCTTTTATACTTGCCATGGATGTAACCTAAAAAGTTTTGGCATATTTAGGTCAGTGTAGAAGAACTTTTTTTGTTAAAATGGAGTTGAATAATGGAGATTTTTGTGTCTGATAAATTCCTGAAATCACTGAAAAAATAACAAATTATTCCTTGTCTCTGATACGTAAAATTCTTCTAAGCATCTTCTTAATCATTAAAATTGACTGCCAGTTGTGAGTGGCTTTTTAATTATCTTGACTTTTGTTGCACTGCACTCTGCCTGTTTTCAGGGGGAGTAAGATTGGTAATACTTGAGGAGACTGTATCTGTCTACTTGGGCTGTTTTGAGGGACTATCCCATCAGTAAATATACTGCATGGCCTTGGAGAGACACTCTGGGCTCTTGGCTCAGATGTATTCATCAACTACTCCTTTCAGAGCTCTTGTGGGTGTCCGTGACATGATGTGGCCAAAAATTCAAACTGTGCAGTTGCGTTGTGGCAAACATGCAATGTGCTGTAAAATCTCAATACGATTTAAATAAAATCTCTATATTAGTGCTGCTTTGTTGGGTCTTTTTATTTTGGAGAAATAACTAATTTTTTTTCCCTTTAGAGTATGAGAAGGGACTAAAGTATCATGTTCCTTTGTCCCAATCATTTGTTTTTAGTGACCTCTCCTTTTAGGGTAATTAAAATATAAAATAGTACATATGTAATTTTTATATAGACATAAATGATTACATATGATTTTAATCAAAAATGTGCATTTTTCCTTGAGATATGGTACTACTAAGATTAGAGAATTAGCTTTTTTGGGTTTTTTTTTGTGTGTGCGCGCGTGTGTGCGGTTGTGTTCTGGTTTTTTGGCCACACCTGGCAGTGCTCAGGGCTTGCTCAGGGACGGAACCTGGTCTGTTGTGTGCAAAGGCAAGCGCCCTACCTTGCTCTACGATGGCTCCAGCGCCAGGCTTTTTGTCCTGAAGGCTGGCCAAGTACTCACTGGATGAATCCCAAGCCCTGCGGCCACGTGGGTGGTTCTGAAATACACAAACCCTGGGGTTCCGAGATGGGGTTCTGATGCCTGGAGCGCCTGCCCATCGCAGACCCCTGGCCGCGGGTTCAGGACTGCCTGGAGGAACCGGGACCTTCTCCTGCCGTGGGTGTTGGGGGCGTGAGGGAGGGTGGCTTCCCCTACCGCGCGGGGCCCAGGGGGCGGGCCGGCTCGTGCCGGGGCCCCTCCGCGCGGCGGGAACTCGAGGCCCCATTGGCCACACTGCAGGGCGCGGCGCGACCTCGCGCACCAACGGTCCCCGGGGGTCCGGGCGCCGGCAGGAGGGGGCAGGGGGCAGGGCGAAGCGAAGGCCGGGGGGGATCGAGAACGGGGTGGGAGAGCCAGGCTCGGCGGGGCGAGGCCCAGGGCCCGGGCGGGGGCGATGGAGGAGGCGCTGCTCTCCACCCCCATCAACCCCAACAACTTCCCGGCCAAGCTGTGGCGGCTGGTGAACAGTCCCCGGTACCGCTCGATCCGCTGGGACGGCCGCGGCGAGGGGCTGCTCATCGACCAGCCGCTCTTCGAGGCGGAGCTGCTGAGCCCGCCCGTGGCGGGGGCGGCGGGGGGCGGCGGCGGCGGCGGCGTCGGGGCGGCGGGGGCCGAGCCCGAGCTCTTCAAAACCACCAACTTCACCAGCTTCATCCGCCAGCTCAACCTCTACGGCTTCCGCAAGGTGGTGCTGGGCGGGCCGGGCGCGGCGGGGCCCGGGCCGGGGCCGGGGGGCGGCGGGCCGGCGGGCGACGGGCCGCTCCACCACTTCCACAGCCCGCACTTCCGCCGCGACCAGCCGCAGCTGCTCGTGCACCTCAAGAGGCTCACCAGTGCCAACAAGGCCAAGCTGGCGGCCGGCCTGGAGGTGCCCTGCCGCCCACCCAACCGCTTCCAGCGGCTCCTCATTACGTCGGCGTCCGCCTCGGCCTCCACCTCCACCTCCCCGCTGCAGCACCCGGAGCCGCCGCCGCCGCCCGCGGGGCCCCGGCCCGAGCCGCACGGTGAGTCGGTCGCCAGCCTCGGGGCGGGCGGCCCCTCTGCACCCGCCTCCGGGCACGGCCGAGGGCAGCAACCGCCACTTCGACGGGGCCCGGTCGCGCATCCCCACCTTTGAGGTCTCCGAAATGCACCCTGCGTGCGCTCTGGGAAATAGGTTCGGGGTCCCCCCCTTCCCGGCTGCCCTTTTCCCCACTCCCGGGTACCTCTGCTGGACGAGCTTGCGGCCCCTGCGCCCAAGACTCGCTTTCTGTTCCTCCTGAGCCCCTCTTGCACCCTGCCTGGCGCTCTCCCAGTCTCCATGGGCGTTTACCTTGCTGAACCCCAGGGGTTTCTCCCCTGTAAACCTGTGGAACACACGGGTCACGGTGGAAACTGGGTCTGGAGACGACTCCTTGGCTCCAGTGCGAAGCAGAACTGAGTTGCCGTGCAGGGTGAGATGATGAGGAAGGCTTAGGTGGGAAGGAACAAAGTCACAGCCAAGAAAACGTTGGAAATTTATACCGACCAAAGGAAACGAGAAAGCTACCAGGGAAGTTTGTCCTTGAAGAGATACACTGCCTTCCACCTGTTGACACCTCTACAAGAAATCTTGGAAGAAGGATTCTGACAGTACTAGTTTAGGTTCCAAGTAACATAAAATGAAACACTTCTCAAATAATTTGACCTATCTCAAATTATTTTAGGAGCAAAATATTTATCATTTACAAGGTATTATTCTTATGTGGAATGAATTGGCCCAACAGGTGATGCTTAACAAATAATCAGTGCTTATTTAAGGCATTGTGATTTAGACAAACATTAGGCTAAAATGGTTTTCTTTACAGTTATAGAGTTTTAGTTTTAAATAATTTTAGAAAACTTAGTACTTTTGGATTTGCCGCCATTGGCCACAATTTGTTTAGTTTTGAAAAACAGTTTGTGCGTATATAATTACTAAAATTTCAAAAACTGACAGAAAATTTTTGTATACTTGATTTTGGATACTTTAACCTCTTCCAATAAGGTGAGAGTGCTAATATCCCCTTTCTCTGAGAGTCCAGGATTGAAAGAAAGCAACAGTATTTAGCAATGAGGATTTATTCTTAACCTGGGTCAAAGTGATAGTGCAGCCAGTAGAGCACTTAGCCTTGCATCCTTATGAGGGAGGATCCCTAAACACAGCCAGGAGCAAACCCTCATGGGGTGTGGCTCAAAAACAAAAAAATTTGTATTCCTTACCTTCAACTAGGAGAATACCAGAAATATTTGTAGCATGTTAATGTGGATTTGGCATAAAGATGCTGGCTATTTTACAGATACAGGATACTTTTAAAATACACAGAAGTAACATTTTGTTCCATTTAACCTGAGAGGGTTATGAGATAGCACTTTGTTCTTTTGGAATTTAGAAGACAAGGAATTAGCTGGTATCCTGTGGAGTTTAGAAGATAAAGAATCAAGTTAGAGTTCTGGCAGTAACAAGTTGGAAAAATAGCAGTGGCTTAGGAATGTTCTAAAGGAATTCTAAAAGAATACCAAGCATCTGCATGTGATGGCCCTGATTTCATCTGGAATGGCCTCTCCATGGGATAACCATTACCTTTGGAGGAGATGGAAGGAGACTAAAACTTGGCATACCTTTGGCAGCCTTTCTGACCTGAATGTTTGTTATCAGGTTGTAGATCTGGTAGGCCTAAGTAGGAAAGACTGGAAAAATGTATTTTGGGGAGCTATAGAATAACTCTTTCCAAAAAAAGATACCTACATGCTAAAAATCAACTCTTGCTCACTTTTATTTTTCCCCTCTTATTTTCTTATTTTCCCGTCACCTATCTAAAAAGCCAGGGCGATAGCACAGCAGTAGGGCATTTGCCTTGTGCACAGCCAGCCCAGCCGAGCCGGGTTCGATTCCTCCGCCCCTCTCAGAGAGCCCGGCAAGCTAGGCAAGCTACCGAGAGTATCTCGTCCGCACGGCAAAGCCTTGCAAGCTACCCTTGACATATTCGATATGCCAAACACAGTAACAACAAGTCTCAGAATGGAGATATTACTGGGCCCGCTTGAGCAAATCGATGAACAGTGGGAGGACAGTGACAGTGACCTATCTCAAATTCAGTTGGATACTGAGAAAAACCATTTTAATTGAAGAAATACAGTAATATTTAGTTCATTGTCAGGCTTTTAAGAATAATTTGTTAAAAGATACGTTTAATTCATTTTTTTCAGTATAAAAATACATTAGTTCACACATTCCTAGATTGTGTAGTTTCTTTTTTTTTTTCTTTTTGGGTCACACCTGGTGAAGGACAGGGGTTATTCCTGGTTTTGCACTCAGGAATTATTCCTGGCGGTGCTTGGGGGACCATATGGGATGCGGGGAATTGAACCCGGGTTGACTGAGTACAAGGCAAACACCCTAACTGCTGTACTATCGCTCCAGCCCCTCTTTTCTTTTATTTATTTTTTTAAATTTTATTGAATGAAACTTATTTAGGAAGATATGAGGGAAAGAGAAGGAGAGAAAGTATATGTTTAAGAGGGTGCACAGGCTTCTCCAGAGTAGAAACCTAAGGAAACAAAGATCTATACAGACAAGCAATCAAACCCAAGTTCAAGGGAGAACATGCGCTGGAAGAATAAGCGGTGGTTTTAGGCATTTCTTGCCACCCCCTAACCTCACCATTGTGTGTAGTGGGTAGGTCAGGCATGTCATCTATAGGTTTTCCATATAGTAAGATTGGTCTACTAGGATACTGAAACTTTTTATTTAATTTTTATTTTATAATATTTCATTACATTTAATACTCAAACACCAGTCCCACGACCATTACACCTTCCCACCACTGTATTTTGGGTATTTCCATCCCAAACCCCAATCCCTACCCCAAAGCAGAACCGAAATAACATATTTTGTATTGTTTGTTATGAAAAACCACTGAAAATGCTACAGGAAAGTATCCTTAGAGGAAAGAGGATGAAGATTGTTATATTTCACCCAGGGGCCATTAACCCTTTTATAAGGGATCACTAACATGTTATTAGTGGTTGGGCATTGTATGCTTTTATATATCAATCTGTAAGAAATACATATTTCTCTGTAAGATTGGCTGCCTCCTATTTTGAACTCCATCAGATGTGGTGCACTTTTGGAGTACGGGTAGTGTGTGTGTGGAAATACTAAAACTTCGGTGGAATATAATTCTAAGTTAAAAAATAGTGGCCTAACTTTCTTTTGCTTTTTTGTTTTTGGGCCACACCTGGTGGTGTTCAGGACTGACTCCTGGCTCTGCGTTCAGAGATCATTCCTGGCATGCTAGAGGGACCATATGGGACGCCAGTGGGGATGGAACCCAGGTCGGCTGCATGCAAGGCAAGAGTCCTACCCGCTGTACTACCAGTCCCTTATATTGCTTTTTAATACCACATGCTTGGCTTTCCTATTTTTCCTCTAATTTTTATTTTGCTTGAATCTTATCTTGGTCATATGCATGCCTGCACCATTATTTCTTAGTTTCCATTTTATTTTCTGCGTTCTGCTTTAGTTTATGGGTTTGAATACCTCTCTTTTCCAGGTAGTTGTCTTGTTTTAGGACCTGATTCTCTCTTCAATTCATGGAGGTGGCATACCTATTTGCCTTTCAATAATGTGCTTGATATTAAATGTTTGGATCACAGGGTTTTTTTTCTCTTTTTTCCCCTTTTGGACCACACTCAGTAGTGCTCAGGGCTTACCTGGGCTCTGCACACAGGATTCACTCTTGATGGGGCTGTGGGATCCTATGGGAGGCAGGAGATCTATCCTGGGTCAGCAGCATTCAAGACAGATACCCTGTCCTTGGACTATTACCCCAGGTTTTCCCTTTTTTGTTCTTTTGTTTTTCATGGCAAATTGCTTTATGTCTGTTAAAACTTTCTAAACTAATAGTTCTAAACTGTAGATAATCTGATCTTTGCCTGGGGATAGTAAGCTCTCAGGTGCAGATTTCGGGCCAAGGAGCAAGTTCTTCCCTGGGAATTGAATAATTTAGATTCATCCATATAGATGGAATAGAATATTTAGGTATAAAAATTTATTTCTGCCTATATTTCCAGAATTCTGAATTTAAAGTTTGCCAGGTACATCTTAAAGATGTTCTGAATATTTATAGGTGATGTTTTATAAAGTTGGTCAGAATATGGAGAGATGGTACAGTGAGTAAGGTGCTTGCCTTGTACACAGCTCATCTGTGTTAATTCTGGACACCCCATGGAGTCCCCTAAGCCCACTAGGAGCAGATTTCTAGCCAGGAGTAAGCCCTGTTCTCAGCCAGGTGTGGCCTAAAGCAAAACAAAACAAAACAAAACATAGAGCCATGTAAGAGCCTTTAAAGGAGAATAAAAAAGAGCTAAAC